AATTGGGTGCTGATACATACATACCCTGCGGTAAATGAGTAAACTAATGGATGCCTGTTGAGCTGCTGGTTAAGGGTTTCGGAAATTTCACATTATTGTCGGTCCTGTGAGGTCAGTAGTAGCATTTTTATTCTATTTTAACAGAGAAGGTTAGTATGGATTAACTGTATCATGGACTCATCCTAAATCTGTGTCGCAGGTGGTAGGGCTGGAACTCAGAACCCCAGTCTTCTGGTACCCGTTTTCATCACCGATCCAGCCCAGCTTGTCCCAGTTTGGTGGGAGTGGCACTGAGCAAGAGGTTTACAGACAAGTAAATAATGAGGGTGCAAGTGCTTTGCACGTAGGAAGCACCACACAAGTGTAAAAGTTATTTTGTGTTCCAGGATCCTGAGATACCATTTTTTTCTGAGCCTTCTTTGAAGAGGTCGGTTATTTTATTGGCAAGGAGAAGAGCGTGAGAACTCAGGGTATTATAGAGAGGCATGTTATTTTTGCATTGAGCTTGTCTTTAATTCATATCCCTACCAAGCAGCTTAATATTTATTTTCTTCTTGTCACTCAGAAGTCTTTAATTTTACATGTTCATTGCAGAAAAATTAAGAAGGAGAGATAAACCCCCAAAAAGGAAGCAGAGGACTATTACCCACAAACCACTCTACAGCAATGATGGCTGTTCACATGGTGGTCGGTATTCCTACATCTACATCACAAATACTAGATCTTTTTTTTTTTATCCTCACCCGAGGACATTTTACCTTTTTGGTTCAGGTAGAGTGGGAGAGAGAGAGAAACATTGATGGAAAAGGGACACATCGAGTGGTTGCCACCCACGTGACCCCAACCGGGGCCGGGGACAAACTGCAACTGAGAGGTACATGCCCTTAGCAGGAACCGAACCCAGGTCTCTCTGGTCCGCGGGCCGACACTCTAACCGCTGAGCCAAACCAGCTAGGGCATAGATCTTAAGGTTTATTCTGCTCGGAAGTAAAAAATTACAGCACAGTAATTCATGAACATTGTTATTTAAAAAATAATAGAGAGGAGACTTTGATCTTGGAAAGAGGACAAAACGTTTTCCCTAGACCGCACCTGTAATTTCAGTCACTTGAAATGGGTCCTGTGGGGCTTTCTGAGAGCCAAGCTTCACACTGGTCCCTGATAAAAAGCCAGCAAAATAAGGAACCCCTCTGGTTGTCACTCAGCTGTGATTTAGAATAGGAGCGTGTGTTGGGGTAGCAAGTCAGGTGAGTCCATAAAATTGCTCTGTCCAGAGGGGTTTCCGGTCCAGAGCACCTTGGGGTGAATACTGATATAAGACCACATGGATGCTGTGCCGTTTATGACACAGTAACACCCGAGAAAGAGCTAAGTGTACCTACCATTGCGACCAATTGAAGGACACTACGGTGTTGCCAAGCCCCAGCCACACTCACCTCCTTTTCTCCCTGCAAAAGCCAAACCTAAGTGGCTTTGCGGTTGCCAAGTTCCTCTGCCTATAACACAGTTTCCCAGCTCTTCAAAGTTACTTCCTTATAGGATTTTCCTGGCCACTCTGTTTGAAGTGGTCTGCCCTGCCCACCCCCACCCCCCCAACTCAGAAGGCATCACCACCTTCATTTCCTCCATGGCCCTGTCATGCCATGAGAGTGTTTTATTGCTTTGCTTGCCTGTTGCCTGTCTCCTTCACCGGCCGGCCAACCTCTTGGGGTGAGCACACACCGGTCCCAGTCACCATGGCATCCCGGGCTTAGCACACCCCCATATGCTGGGCAACTGGATGAATTGTGTTACGACCATTTGTCAAGTCAAGTATGTCAGCAAAACTTTTTAAAAATTACTGAATAGTTTTGCAGAAGATTTCTGTTTAGTTAAATGTAAGATGAAATGTGAAGTAAAACATGGCCACGTAATGTGTGAAAGAAATTGTATTTAACAATACTCAGAAGTAGGAAACAGCGTAGGTGGTTGAAGAAACTTGAGAATTCAGGGTCTTTCAACTCTGGTTGCTCAGAAGAGCAAAAACGTTTTCAATTCCACATACCTGAAAAGACACACCTTTATTAAAAGATGTGGCTTTATTTAAATAAATACCTTAAAACACCTAAATCGGTGACATTATGGACCCCCTGAGGTGCATTTTTTATATATCTGGTAGGAAATAGCATCATTTCTGAAAACCCTCGTGATAAAATAACTGCTGTTACGAGATGGGTCTGGAAGAGTCTAGTCAGAGTCCTCAGTTGCAGGAAACGCGTGTGCGCTTCTCCCCCGGGTCATCACCTCACTGGTTGTAGTGACAGGTGCAGGCTGCTGCTCTGCTGAGGCGGGGCGGAGCCTGTGGGCCTGCTCTGTTGTTTTTTACCTCATGGTCTTAATTCACCTGAAGTTGTGTGTGTGTGTGTGTGTGTTTAAATTGTCTTTATTGTTGGAAGTATTACAGATGTCCCCCCTCTTTCCCCCATTGACCCCCTCCTCCCCGCTCCCACCCTCCTCCTGCCTTCCCCACACTGTAGTCTGTGTCCACTGGTTGTGCGTATATGCATACAAGCTCCTTGGTTTCTCTCTTCCCACCCCCACCCGCACTCCCCCTGAGGTTTGTCAGCCTCTTCTCTACTTCCTCACTTGAAGTCTTAAGCTTCAATGAAGGTAAAAGGAAGTGTGACTTCGGTAAGCAGAATAAGAAATCTTGTGGTAGCCAGTGCATGAGCTGGCAGGTGGACACATCCGTGGTTGACAGGTGTGGGGCATTGATGTCACAGAGCCTGGAAGAGGGGAGAGGACTTCTCTTCAGAAAGGCTGTTTGGAGCTCCTTGGTGTGCTGTAGCTTTTCAGAGGTGACCTCTGGGCTAATCATTGACTTTTTAGCCTTAAATGACTTTTCTGTCTCTAGAGAAGGTGGGATTGAGTGTAATTCAGCTCACTGGCTAATTGGTTAAAGTCATGCATTGTGATACCTGCCTAGGAGCCAGCCAGACCCTGGCTGCAGTCAGCTTTAGTGGAGCCTCCTGCAAAGGGTGTGGCATTCTGTACCTTTATCCTGCCTTGCAGGTGGTTTCCGGTGTTTTCCTCTGGGCTTTCCTGAACTTCAAATGGACTGAAAGCGCCTCCCTAATTCCCCAGGGCATTTGTCAAAGTTTTGCCTGAGGAGCCTTAATTCTTTTTTTTTTTTTTATCCTCACCTGAGGACATTTTTACATTTATCTTCAGATAGAGTGGGAGGAGAAAGGGAGGAAGAAAGAGAGAGAGAAACATCAACGTGAGAGAGACACATTGACTGGCTGCCACCCACATAACCCCACGCGGGACCCGGGACAAACTGCAACCGAGGTACGCGCCTTTAGCGGGAACCGAACCTGGGTCTCTCTGGTCCACAGGCCAACTCTCTAACCACTGAGCCAAACCAGCCAGGGCGAGCCTTAATTCTTTATGTAACTAATCAATCATTTCCCCTCTCTATCTTCCCGTCCCCCACCCCTGGCTTCCTCCCCTTCCCCCCCCCACCCCCCATCCTCTCCCTCTGACTGACACACGGTGTGTTCAGCCTCACCTCACAGAGTTCCAAGGTGGCCTGGGCCATGTGCATGAACCTGCACCCATGACCCTGCCAGTCTGTGAATCTGGACTGGTTTTCCTAATGAGGGCATTATTTGCTTTTTAGCCTTTTCCCCTTGTTTATAAAATATGCCAAGAGAACTAAACAACCCGCAGTTCCCAGTACTTATTTACTTGCCCAAACCAAATGTTTATGTCCTTGAATACTAAACTTCAAGAAAAAGGGTTCCTCCTCGTGGGAACGCTGCAGTGACCACTCAAAGCTCTGCCCAGTGCAGCTGGAGGCCCGCCTCCGCAAGCCTTCACTGTTGGTGCCTTCAGGACCTTGCAGCCTCGTGGTGGGCCCTGGAGTGTGTGTGGGGAGGGACTCTGGGGTTCTCTGCTGCTCCTCCCGGCCCCTTACTCTTGACTGCATGGGGTCAGAGCATCCTCCAGAGCTTTACTTCGCCACTCCACTCCTCACACACCTGCCCTGTTGAGCAATGAAACTTTCCCGCCGTACCTCCCAGCCGGGGGCAGCATTCTCAGCTTGACTTGTTCTAAAACCGTAATTGAAATACAACCTAGGGCCTGAGGAAGAAGACCAAAGGAGCCTGCAGCAGCAGTGCCACTGTGCTGGGTGCCCTGGCTTCTAGCATGCCCAGCTTCAGCAGGCCTGCAGGAGCGCAGGCTTGATGCTGGGGCAGGGGTTCTGGCCTCGCCAGCAGGTCCAGAAATACCTGGGGAGTTCCCAGAGCGCAGGCTGCCCACCCCCACGCCGCCCAACCTGGCACCTGTGTTTTCTGGATGCTGACCAGGTGAGTCTGATAGAACCAGGTTCCAGGGCCTGCCCATGACAGCTACAGCTGACACGTTTGGTTCCTCTCCAGTGGGATTTCCCTGGGTGCATATGACATGGATCCCATTATTCATCTCCTGGCAAGTTTTGTGCTGAATACACATTTGTCACCTTTCCTTGTTTCTTTTTCCACGAGGAGAACCATTTCCTTGTTACCTTTGCCAGATTATTTAGGAGAAGAGTGTAAATTGAAGCCGTTTATCTTGAAATGTGCTGTTGGGGCACATTGTTTATACAAGGGAAAGAAATTGTAACAGCGGTATTTGGTATGGTCTGCAAGGAAAAGGTGTCTCAAGTTTTCCAGCCCCCTCGCCCCTTTGTACATACAGTGTGTTAGTTAGAAGGTGTACAAAGCACACGTGCATTAGGTTTGCATGTGTGACAGGCAGGACAGTCCTTAATGGGTATAGTGAGTATTTTCATGTGTATTTTTGGTAATGTTAAACAGATAACCATAATGTGACCGTTACTCCTCCAGCATCAGCCATACACCTTCATAACCAGAGTCTGTTTATCATGTATCCTCTGCTTCTCAAGGAGGTAACAGATAGAATGTGCATTTGTGAGGATTTTGCTGTTCTAATTGAAACCTATACATGTTTGTCAGTTGGTGGACGAGTAAGCCGTGAATTAAATTATACTCGCCAGAAGATTGGAGAAGAGGCTATGTTTAATCCTCAACTCATGATTCAGACCCCGAAAGAAGAAGGTGCTAATGTCCTGACCACAGAAGCGCTCCGCCAACACCTGGACTCGGCGCTCCAGGCCAGCCGGGTCCACGTGTACATGTATAACAGGTAAGGTGCTGGGAAGAAGCTGCTCGCTGAGGCCCCTTTACTTTAGTGAGTAAGGTTGCCCTGGAAACATGTAGGGTGTTAATTCAGATAGTTTTTTAATGAAATGATTTTTTTAATAAAAATTTTTTTTAATCTTGATTCATTTCCAGAGCTTGGTAACCAGTCAAATACATGACTCTATAATGTGTTTTCAGTAAGCATTCTGGCACTAGACCCAAATGCATCTGACCCTTCAAGCAGCCATTGAGGGGCTATACAACTATTCTGAAGATGTTTCATTACCTAAAATGTTCTTAGAACAGTCAGACTTTGAATTGTCTTTGGTCAACTTGCAAGGAATAAGAAAAGAAAAAGGAAGAAATGACTGCTCATTACCTTTGTATTCACTGTCGATGTTGAGCCAGAGCCACGGTGGCGAATTCCAGCTGACAGGTGGGGGATAGGGTAGGCTCACAGCTTCCCAAGATACTGCCCTGCAGCTTCCCGGCTACTTCACCAATGCTGAGGGTGTAGTGAAAGCACAGGAAGAGTTCCACCTTTTCTTATCTCAGCCGTGAGATAGCAGGGCAAGGGCATCTTTGCCGTTCTGGTACAGCACTTGGGGTGTGCTGACTGACCGCCTGAACTGATGAACTAGATCTTCTCCTTGAACCTTTGAGATGACTGTCACTAAACGCCATTTCCAGGAGACCACTGAGTTGACATTTGTATAACTCTGTTCTGCCTCCATAGGCTTTCAGCACCTCTTACTGAGGGGCTGGCAAGTATGATTTATTTTTCACAGGGGAGGGGAGGAAGTGGCAGTGTAGACATACTCAGTGGCCGGGCAGAATGAGGGAGAATGAAATGAGTCTGTACTTGTCTCAGCTGTAACCTCAGCTCTGCACGGACCTCACTGGATTGGCTGGAAGACCCATCTAGAGGAGACAGGATCCTGGGGCCCAGCATGACCTGGGACAAGTCACCTGTCTTTAGAACACTCTTATTTCCTCCTGTAAACTAAGTTATGGTCATGTTTGCTCTGTTATCCTCAGGAGGTTCCCGGAAGACCGCGTACATGTGTACGTGAAAGGGTTTTAGAAAATGCAAGGGGATGTATTTTAGTGCCTCCGCCAGGCACAGTTGGGTGGAGAGCACATCCCAGCTCTTACCAGTGCAGCCCTTCCAGTCTGTCAGGAGCTTTGCGGGGAAATAACTTGCAATTTTGTAAAATTTGCAAGTGGCAGTGGGTATTTCAGGGCCACTGTGAGCATGCTGGATGCATTCTTCATGGAACTGGAGCCTGCCTGGGGGGGGTTGCCACTTACTTTAGGCAGTGGTTCTCAACCTTCCTAATGCCGCCACCCTTTAATACAGTTCCTCATGTTGTGGTGACCCCCAACCATAAAATTATTTTCATTGCTACTTCATAACTGTAATTTTGCTACTGTTATGTCTTAGGCGACCCCTGTGAAAGGGTCGTTCTATCCCCAAGTGGTCGTGACCCACAGGTTGAGAACCGCGGCAGTTTAGGAGAAGGTGAAAGCATCCATACAATGAAATAACACTCTTAAGCTGAGATGGAACCCGAGAACTTTTATGCACAAACTTTAAAGAACATCTAGTTCAACCCATCTCATGTTTTAGGTGAGAAGATTGGGAATTCGATTGATTAAGAGCATCTGTCCAAGTCCGTACAGTTATTAACTAGTACAGCCAGGTTTTATACCCTTTCTTATGGCTCCAAGCCCAGTGGTTTTTCTAACCACAACCATGCCCTTTTCGAGCAAGTTTAAATGAGAGTTCGTTGATCAAGTGATACTAAGTGAGAACCTACTCGTGCTCCATAGTCTGTGTTGATGCTCTGTGGAGTTAAAGTGTGAACATTTATGTAGATGGGTGGGTAGGTGGGTGGGTGGACAGATGGGTGAATGGGTAAGTTGGGTATTGCTGAGGGAGCTGGCAGTTTAGATAGGGAGAAGAAAGACATCATTACAGATAAGCATGTACAAAGCCAAACAGGCAGGTGCTCCAGGTGTCAAGCAGGTATCTGATCAGGCACTGCTCAAGAGGAAGGGATCATTCTTACAGCACTGGTCAAGGAAAGCTCAGCAGGAAGGTGGCGTTTTAGTGGGCCGCTGCGGCTGCAGGGGCAGGTGTCATAGGGCCGAAGGCGAAGTCCAGAGCGCTCCTTTGGGGATCAGTACAGTAGAGCAGTTTGGAGGGAGAGCTTTATATCTACTTTTTCTTCTCTTGGATTTCTCTCCCCTGCTATTTCCAAACTTTCCTTTTTCTAGTTAGACTTATATAGCACTCTTCTAGGGATAACAGAACTCTATAATAATAAATAAGTAGATGATAGATAAAAGGTAACTGTAGGTCAGTGTACTTAATATCATTTCTACAGGACAAGAAGGGAAGACTATAAAGTGGAAATGGATCTACCTGGCATTGTTTACGGCATCCATTCCTGGGTCAGAGTAGGGAGCTTCATTGTGAACACTGTTAATAGGGACACTATCTGCCAGTAGAAAAAGTCAGTAATGTTTTCCCACATAAATGTATAAGGCTTAATATGATATAAGCCTTGCTGATTTAGTCCCCAGTTATTTTGAGTTTGTGATAATTCAACTCTGAATTATTTGCCCTGAAGTTGTTTAATGTATGTAGAAAAGCAGATTAATGGTGTAAACAAGATTATTGGGAGAACACTTAAGAAAACAAGACTTCTCAAGTACTTTGGTAGCATTCATTTACATAAACACCCACGTGTTAATTACAGTTGAGTATTATCTATTCATTAAAGCAAGCTTGTTGGGTCTCTACTTGGCAAAAGCTCTGCTGGAGTTTTTTTTGACAGATACTTAAAAGTGATCAAAATCTCCGTTCTTTCTAAATACTCTAGAATTCTGGTTTTGCACTGATTTCCTTCCAGTATTACAATGAGAAATTTTTGTCTCTGCTCTTTACTAGGCAATGGAAATTGGAACATTTGTGTTACAAATCTGGAGAACTTATCACAGAAACAGGTTATATGGATCAGGTATACTTTCTTTTTGTTTATAAAGAAAATTCTCAAAAACATCCCGGTGGTATGCGTCAGCTAATGCATGGCCTGTTCTTTTTAACTTTGACAGATAATAGAATATCTTTACCCTTGTTTAATTATTACACCTTTGGACTGCTTCTGGGAAGGGGCCAAGTTGCAGTCCGGGACAGCATACCTACTGTAAGTGTATGATCTTGTTTTCTGATGTCTGATTTCTAAGCTCTAGAATATCTGTCATGTTACTTGATCATTGTTTATTCTAGTTCAGTTTTGAACAAGAAGTAAAAACATTGAAATTCCATGTGCATTTTTTGAGTGAATAGCTGGGGGGAGAGGGGACTTCAGCAGAATATTTTTTCTCTTTTTGAAAAAAAGTTCTGTAGGCGTCATTAAATTTCATTCACTTTTACCAGCCTATTTATATGCAAATAAAATGCAAATGATTTCAGAGTATGTGTGATTTTTAACTCTTTAAAATGTTGACAGTTTTGCAGGCTGCACTCAAGGAGAGAATTTATTTTCTAAGGAGAATTTATCTTTTAAGGAGAGAATTTATTAGTGGGCACATGTCAGAACTAAATATTTTGAGTTCAAGTTCAAGATCTTCCTGTGGAGTAAAATGTTAACGTTTCTTTGGATCACATTAATGACATTGAAGGGGGAAATCTGCTATCTTTGAAGGCCCTGGTCATGGGTACTTCATAGTTTAGCATTTGGATATTATATACCCCACATCATTTAAAGAAGAATTGTTAATCAGTGTCGACATTTTCAGTTAATTATGCAAGAGTTAGTGCTTGGGTTATTGTTTCTCTCCTAGCTTGCGCATATCTGCAAAAGCAATTTGCAGTGGCCATACCCTGACCTTCAGTGTACAGTTTTAGATGGGAAATAAGGGGTTTTGTGTTTTCTGGTTGGGAGATTCTGAATAATGACTTCAGCCTGGTTAAGCAGCTACAGTGTGGTTTGAACCACATAACAGGCAGCCAAAAGCCTTTCTGGTCTGTCAACAGCACAGATTCAAAAGTGAGTGTGGGGGGAAGTGGCCTTGATGGCGGTGATGGCAGAGGCAGCGGGGGCTTGCGGGCTTGACTGCCCGGTTGTCAGAGGGAGCTCATGAGTATGGGATTATTACAGGTAATGGAGATCAAATATTTTGGTTGATGGCATTTACAAAGCAGTTATTAGGCTAGCAAGTGCTAATTTGATGTTGTGATTCCCTCTTTTTTTTTTTTTTTTAATTCTTAATTTTGAATCTCAGTTTTCTGTTTGGAAGCAGCACGGGTGAATTTTGTTTTTAGGTATTAAAGACAGTATGTCGGCCAGTAGAGATTCTCTGTGCCCTCATTCACTCATCGGTTCTCTGTTTGCCACCTTCACTCATGAATTATTTTCCTGACTTAGGTTTGCACACAGATAGACCAGAAAGAGGCGTTTTTGTTTTGTTTTGTTTTTTTATGCCAGGGCCCCAGAATGGCAGCATTACCAGAAAGCCTCCTGTAATTGGAGGTAGTCCATGCACTGTGTGTAGTCGTGATCTTTTACTGAGGGTTTGGAACCTCTTTTCATCGTCTTGCCTCCTAATTCCTTTCACAGAGGTAAGCCTCCTTTGCAGTGGACAAACTTTGACCCTTTGGAATTCCTAGAAGAGTTAAAGAAAATAAACTATCAAGTGGACAGCTGGGAAGAAATGCTGAATAAGGCGGAAGTTGGTCATGGTTACATGGACCGGCCCTGCCTCAATCCGGCTGATCCAGACTGCCCTGCCACGGCCCCCAATAAAAATGCGACCAAAGTGAGTACATCGGTGGTCCTTTTCAGGACAGGCGGACAGGAAAGTGTGATGTTTCCCCCCATTCTTCACTTTACTCTCTTCATTTTTAAGATTTTATTCTCAATGACTTTGTGTGTGTGTGTGGAACTAAGTTTGTGTATAGAGCGAAATTTTGCTGTAGAATTTGCCATACGCCTCCCTTTAGCCTTGTTTTTAAGGTTCTCTCTGAAACAAGCCCTGAATGCACTGGATTGTAACAGGGCATGTGACCTGCCTGCTAATTCCCACAATTATGTGGCTGTCTTTCTATTTTAGCCTCTTGATATGGCCCTTGTTCTGAATGGCGGATGTCATGGGTTATCCAGGAAGTATATGCACTGGCAGGAGGAGCTGATTGTGGGTGGCACGGTCAAGAACAGCACTGGGAAGCTTGTCAGGTAATCCAACACACAGAAAATCCGAGCTTCCTCATTTTTGTCCTGTCCCGAGAAACCGATCCCTTCTGACATCTGCAAGTGTATTTGTATTCATGCTTAACTGTTATCCTAGCTAGCTGTCTGGTGTAATAGCATATTAGGAAATAATAGCAGACTAGACCAGCTCGAAAAGGCACCTTGTGGGAAACTTTTCGAGAACATGTTTGTCATTTTCATTGAGACTATCTCGTTAGAGACTGTAGGGTTTTATGTAGAAAATCAGGGCATGGGTAAAGCAGGCAAGAGACATTGGTCACAGTGTGTGGAGTGAAGTGGTATGAGCTGAACTCCCTCCTAGCCTGTGAAGTCAAAGGGAAAGACCAGCACTGGACAGCTAACCAGGAACTGTCCTGTGTGCTCCATCTGAGCTTCCTCCCTCGGGAAGGTAGCGTCTGAGATTTCTGCACAAGCCGGGGTGAGCCCAGCATATCAGGTCAAACTATCTACTCCCCTACTCTTCCTGCTTCATTGAGTAGAAACTGAGAAAGGAAATTGCCTATTAATTTAATTTGGGGGTCTATCTGTAAAAGGTTTGTAAGGTTACACCTTTAATATGGTACATCAATCTATTAAATAAAATAACCATCCAAGTCCGGGTTTAATGGAAACATGTGCTCGTGTAGAAGGGTAGAATGACTGTGGGTGAAGTGGGGGAGCACTTTGGGGATTTTACACAGTGAGAGCTGCTTCCTGGGGGTGCTGATCTGTGCCTTCTCACCCCCCTACCTTGTCACAGTGCCCACGCCTTGCAGACCATGTTTCAGTTAATGACTCCCAAGCAGATGTACGAACACTTCAAGGGGTATGAGTATGTCTCACACATCAACTGGAATGAGGACAAGGCAGCAGCCATCCTGGAGGCTTGGCAGAGGACCTACGTGGAGGTAAATCGCCAGTGACCCGACACCCACCCTAGAATCAGGGTACAAGACCCTTAGTTCCTAAATACTTCATTTGAATGACGTTTTAAAAACATTTTTCCCCCTAAGGATTTATTTTCAAAACCAACTAAGTCTGTGAATTTGTGGGATGAAAATTTTTTTCCCTTTTCTTGATATTTAAAATCGTACTATCTGGGCGACGCTCATGCTAGTTGGGGTGCCCCGAAACATTTTGAGTAACCAGTTGTGAGCTCCAGAGTTTAGGCGTGACTGTTTAAAAAACACTTGGCCAGCAAGAAAAGGTGTCTGGAACACATTAGCAAGGCATAGAATCTGTTCACAGCTGCAGTCCCCTTGCTTAGGTCATGTGACAGGAGCTGGCCTTTGTTTCCCAAGCAGTGACCTCTACTGAGCTGCATGTGACCTTTTAAAGGTGGCCAGCAAATGAACGGGGGAGGGGTGCCCAGAGGAATGAGTTGTGCTGGATTAGGGGGGACGGATGGGACCCGTGGCAGAGTGAGGGAGAGGAAGAGCTGTCTTCCCGCAGAGTAAACAGAGCTGTGGCGGTGAACTGAAGTGACTCCGGCTCCCACAGCCCCACATTCTCATGGATTAGTGGTCAACTGCACTGCCCCAGGCCCAGGGTCATCTGATGTTAGTCCAGTTCAAACCTGAGCTGTGTAGTACTCTTCATAATGCATCAGAAGAAAGTGGGGGTTGGGTTGAGGGAATTCAGTCTCAGACATCTGAGCTGTCAGAACTGGGTGTGGGGGGGCTATCACCTCATGGGGACTTACTCTCCTGTCGTGACTGCAGGTGGTTCATCAAAGTGTCGCTCCGAACTCCACTCAGAAGGTGCTTTCTTTTACCACCACGACCCTGGACGACATCCTCAAGTCCTTCTCGGACGTCAGCGTCATCCGAGTGGCCAGCGGCTACTTACTGATGGTGACTATCCATTCGGTTCCCCTGGGTGTTTGGGTTTCTTTTGGTTTGGGGTTTTTACCTTTCCGATGTGGCTCCTGCTGCTTAACTGCTCTTAACACACATGTGCGTCTAAGAAGGAGAGAGCTCGGGCTTCGTAACAGTGTGAGCAGTGGTTGTGTGAAGCCGTTCACCCGCATTCGATTTGTATCATTTCATGTGACGTCTGTAATGTAAATTTTTGTTGTTGGATTTCATAAGTTTTTTTTTTTTATCTTTTGATTTGGAGTGATGGGTGGGGGAAACATTAGAATCCTTCCACATTCTAATGTTTGGCTTTTGTTTTGTGTCCCCCTCCCCCTCTCCCTCTCCCCCTCCACCGTTCTGCTTGCAGCTTGCCTATGCCTGTTTAACCATGCTGCGCTGGGACTGCTCCAAGTCCCAGGGTGCCGTGGGGCTGGCTGGCGTCCTGTTGGTTGCACTGTCAGTGGCTGCAGGATTGGGCCTGTGCTCATTGATCGGGATTTCCTTTAATGCTGCAACAACTCAGGTACTAAGGGAGCCATCCATCATGCTGTTGACCAACGCCCTTCCCCAGGCTCAGGCCTCTTGGGTGGCCATGTCACCTAAAGAGTCTTCAAGCCTTTTCCGCTAGGATGCCACATTTTCTCAGGGGAGTGCTGTCTTTAAATGGAGCGCTCCCCCTCCTCCCTGGGCAGCAGTTTGAACGGGCTTGATGACCAGTAGGGATGTTTCACTTACCAGTGGAATTTAGAGCATTTATTAGAGCAGTGGTTCTTAAACTGGAGTGTGCATTCGAATCCCCTGGAGGGCTTGTGAAAACCCAAATGGCTGGACCCCACCCCCAGAGCCTCGAAGTCAGTTGGTTTGGGATGGGGGTGGAGAGTTTGCATTTGTAACCAGTTCTCAGTGATGCTGGTCCAGGGCTCACACTCCAAGAACCACTGCTTTGGATGAGGTACAGCCCTTCTCCCGTATTCGCCCAAGAAATCCCTGTCTGTGGAGCTTGGAATGCGAAACGTGTAAGATCTGTGAGCTAAACTGCTAGACTTTGGGGATTTAACTCTCAGATAAACCTAAATTCTTCCCCATGAGTAAGCTGTCCTTTGGGTAGCTATTGGGGGCCCTAGAATTGTCCAACGTGAACCTCACGTCTAACATACTGTTCTCGGTTCTCACTGCAGGTGCTGCCGTTTCTCGCTCTTGGCGTTGGTGTGGATGATGTTTTCCTTCTGGCGCATGCCTTCAGCGAAACAGGACAGAACAAAAGAATCCCTTTTGAGGTAATGGGAAACAAAAGAAGGTTTGGGGACAGCCAAAGTCCCCCTGTTCCTGAGTATTTGTCCTTTCATTTTCCTCAGTCGCCCCAGTAAATAATTCAGTCCCCAGTCTGATGACATGTTGCTGGCTCTGCATGGGTAGTCAGTCAGAAGAACCTCAGGACACGTATGCAAAGTGCACATTTGCTTCTCGGAGGGCTTGTGGAGGCAGGGGGCACTTTGTCCCCACCACCTTTCAAATCATACTAAAAATAGACGCGAATCATTATCTTGTATCTTTGAGTTTTGGACAGTATGTAGATAGTACTGAAAACGCTTCCAATGCCCACGTTGGGGGAAGGCAGAGAGCTCTTCCTCACTCCCTGCCGCCGCCCCTGAAGGACCCTGGTGTTACTTTGTATTTGAGCTGTTTGCACCTCTGCTCTGAGGGAGCCCTGCCCCGGCTCTCAGCACTGTGTCTCCCCGCCCTCAGGACAGGACCGGGGAGTGCCTCAAGCGCACCGGAGCCAGCGTGGCCCTCACCTCCATCAGCAACGTCACCGCCTTCTTCATGGCCGCGCTGATCCCCATCCCTGCGCTGCGGGCATTCTCCCTCCAGGTGAGTCTCCAGCGACGGACCGTGCGCGCCCACACCACTGCCGCCACATGCCCCACTCGGACGCTTCCTGCCGGGCAGGTGCTTCTCTGCGCGGTGACCCTGACGTCCCTCCAGAGTTGTAGGTTCTTTCCTTCCTTTGAAGCCGATAGCCCGGATGCCTCAAGGCCTGGTGCCTTAGGGGGTCGCCCTTCATTTATAGTTAAACTGAAATGGTACCAGGGCCACTCCATGTGGGACACCGAGAAGCCCCTCCTCCAGGCAGGCAGGGGTCCTCTGCCTTCATCCGTGGCACCGCCGCTGCTTGGCCTCCCTGCGTGGAACCCCCAGCTTTCCATGCTTACTCTCTAAGCATGCTGCCCTCTCTCCTGGTTTCCCCAAAGCGGCCCAACACAAGTCAGCTGAATGGAGCTGCCGGAGTGGCGGTGTAGCCCAGGCTCGGTGATAACTCAGAGTTGAGTGATTAGATGCCACTTGTGAGACTGTCATCACTCTGCCTCAGGAGGGTCGCTGAGGGCCTTTCCCTAGTTCGCTTCCACAGACTCCCCCGTCCCCCTTTCTCTTCCCTCCAGTCCCTGACTCCCCTCTTAGGCTGTCCGAGAAAACTCAGAATTCCTCTTCCTCTGTATGCAGAGCATTTGGGCTCCCGCATTGTTCTGGCTCCTTCCAAAGCAGCCCTTTCACACCTAGAGGCCATCGAGACATTTTTTTTTACACAAAGAGCCAGCTTATGTGAATTGTGAGGGTGGCAGGTTCTCCACGCGGCTGCAGCTGTAGTCAACCCCACGGCTGCAGCGACAGTCAGCCCCACACATCTGTGGTCAGCCCCACGCAGCTGTAGTCAGCCCCAGGGCCGCGGCGGCGGTCAGCCCCACGCAGCTGTAGTCAGCCCCAGGGCCGCGGCGGCGGTCAGCCCCACGCAGCTGTAGTCAGCCCCACGCAGCTGTAGTCAGCCCCAGGGCTGCAGCGACAGTCAGCCCTGCGGCCATGGCGGCGGTCAGCCCCACGCAGCTGTAGTCAGCTCCACACCGCCTCCAGTGCCAGCATTTCTCTGCCTCTGTGGGAAGCTCCCAGGAACCTGACGTCCGTCCTGCCGCAGAGAGACGGCTGCCTGACCGCTTTGTGGTCTTCTTAAGCCCGAAATGGTCAAAGGTTTTGATATCCCAAGGATATTCTTGAAGTGTTGTGAACTGCATTTAAATTTTTTTCATCATTATTTATCCCCTTTATAAACTTTTTTCCCAAAAAATGCAAGGAGTGGTGTCTTTCCCTCTCTTCATTTCTTTTTCCCTTACAATATGATGCAGGATCCGTAGGGTGGCCAGGTTTTTCAAGGAAACTGCTTTTGATACCACTTTTTAAACTGTTATTACACCAGCTTATTCTCACTGCTTGTACTCTCTTTATTCACCAAGAGGTTCTAAGGATTGTGACCAAGAAAGGAAGACCTGACAAATCATAAATTAGGTTTCTGTGTATATTTTTGTCAACACGATTCGCTCTTTTTTTGTCTTCATATTTGAATTTCATTTCACTTAAGACCGATAAAGCAGCTAAGGATCCTACTGTGTTTGGGACACTAGACTTGTCTGATGTTTAGTCGTTAGCATGAGAAAAGAGTTTGTACCAATTGCTGTGACCACCAGCTCCCCAAAGCAAAAAGATTTAAAACGATATTTTTTAAAAAAGGTTTATTTTCTTACAAATATATATAAAAATAGAAATAGCAGTAGTAAGTGAATGAATGGATGAAGTCAAATCTGAAATGGGGACGGAAGCTCAGGGAAGAGAAAACACACCTGACCGCTTAGGAATGTGGAAGATAAGTAGAAGCTGCTTGTTGAATTATGGTGCCGTGAACGCCTCCCTGCACGGGGTGCGTCTGCGCGGCCCCTCTGGCGGCCGTTCTCATACAGCAGGTTCTGGAGCCGAGAAGCTGTTTTAGGGTCTGTTAGTGGTGGGGCCCCGGCTCCGCCCCCTCCTTCCTGCTCACCTTTCGCTCGCTGTTCTTTACCTGCCCTGCCTTGTGCTCCTTCTCTGTCCTCATTCTCGCTGCCTCTCTCAGCACACACTGGTGACTCATCGAGGCACACTCCCCTTTGATGGCACCCTGTGGTGTGGTGGTCCGAAACGCTACCTGAGTTTTCCTAATGTCTTTTAGAAAATCTAGTACGCTAAGTTCTTCCGAGGTAAGCACCTGACAGCCGAAATGAATGCTGCCGGCTCTGCGTTACTGACTCCCTGGCACTTGGGGTATCGCTTTAGAAAATTGCGTCTGCCGCTTCCAGGAACCCTTGTCTATTCAAGGATGGCTTCCTGTGGCACCGCCAGACAAACAGAATTTAAAACAAGAAGACAATGTGAGAAAAGAGAGAGGCTGCCATGAGTTTTGCGGTCATCACCGGAGACTTGAACGCCAGGTCCCTTGTAAATGTGTTGACATTTGAAATGGATCATTATGCAGCTTGTCTCTCCTTTGGTGAACCGTGTTAAGTGGTGACTCTAGGTGTTCATTTGTGTTTATATTTCAGGACGCTACAGGTTAAGCATCAGAAGGGGGAGACCCAAAGAGGTTCTACCCAATAATAAACCTGTGTTAACTTAGGAATTTCCCCTGTGGAACTTTTCCAGTTTTGTGGCTTTACCAAAATATGTAGAATTGTCCCCCCAAAGAAACAGTCTCACATCTCCTTGTCAATCTCCATCTGTCCAAGTGCCGCCTCCTTACTAGAAAGCGGTGGCACCAGCTGTAATCCTTTGGGAACCAGTGCCCTGCGCTGCGGCTTTGCTGGTAACTGAATGGTGTTTGTTCTTCAATTAAACTCCCAGAAAGAATGCCTTATTGTTGCAAATGGTCAGAGGGTTGAGACGAGGGCCCTTCTAGGCAGAGCCATTTCGTCTCTGTGCTCCAAGTGTCTCAGCAGGGCCACCATAGATGCTTTGCAGGGGCATTTCCTTTAAGCACAACTAGAATTGATTGACAGCGCATGATCCTCCCCGTCATCTTTTCAGAATTACTTACAATTTCTTAAACTCACCTGTGCTCCAGCAGTGACACTTCTTCACCGAGAAATCCTTGCTGTTGGTTTTTTACTATTTTGGTGCAGTTTAGGGGATGTTGAAGTTCTGTTACTTTATCATCAGACAGTGTACTCATTGCTGTGTTTCCACCAAGAGACTGAGCAAGGTGCTCGTCAGATTTCTTCAGTGGACGAGGCTGGTATCAGACACACTCGCAGCCCTTCGGGAGAGTACCAGTGTCATTCGGGCCGCACACCTGGACCGTGTATGCCTGCCCCGCTTCTCTGTCCACAGTCTCTGCCCTCGTCCTCGGGCGCTCTCGTTCGTACTGAGAGAGAGTTTCATGTCTACATTGCACTCCTAAATTCTAAAAATAACTGTAATAAAAAGAAAACTGAAAGGATTCCAACCCAGGATTAAGTTTTTCTAGAAAAACCTAGAGAAGCAGACCCATTCTTCCCCACACCCTGTTGTCTGATTGGTCAGGAGGTGGTGACCCGATCTAACAAAGCTCCCGGGGCTCGGGAGCTGAGGGCTAGGCATCCAGCCGCCACTTGAATCCGATTTACTGGGAACCTCAGGCAGCTGACTTCCTGGGCACACCAGGTCTTGGTTAGATGATAACGTCAGAAGCAGTGCTGATGTCTGCTTCCTGGTTGCTGCAGGAATACGCGAATCATATACAGTGACCTGAGCGCCCATGGCTCTTGCCTTCTCCCTTCTCTTCCCCTAGGAGTTTTAAACCCACCAGTGCTGGACGGCTCCTGGCAGGGCGTCCCTGTCAGACTTCCTTCCTTCCGGGTCTTACCAGAGTCCTTTTTTGTTGTCTGCATCTCCCTGAAAAATCTTCCTTGACCCCCTGTGCACCCAGCGTGCACCGCACCTGCATGCTGTCCCTAGTCGGAGCCGCTGCGGAGCCTGTGCATGCTCTCCTGCACCAGGCAGCCTGGGTTGTAGCTTGTCCGTAGGTCTGGCTGTGTCCGTCCCTGTGAGCAGGATTTTGTGTGTTTTACCTGTGTCTCCAGTATCCAGCACAGGGCCCTGCCTTTTCTTTTTAAAGTACCTTTCTTGGGTGACTCTTCTAGTCAAAATAGTGATTTGCTTATTTATAGAAGCTCTGCTGCAGATCTAAGAAGAGAGGGTTGGGTCGTTTTTAGAAGGAGCCCTGTGGTTATTTTTTGGTTTTGACAGGGAATTAATTATTGAAAGGCGTCTCTCTGGAACTCAGGTTTGCAGATGCACCTTGAGCATCATGTCACAGTCCCTCTCCAAGGCCCTTTGTGGAGAGCGTATGATGTCAGGTGTCCGTTTTCTTGCCTCGCCCCGAGAGGTGTGCCCAGCTTGAAAGGTTTTAGAACTAAGCGGTTCTTTGGGGGGGCGGGGGACTCAAAGAGAGTATAATTGTCAAAAAAATGTTCTGCTGATTTCTTGGTTGCTTAGCATTCCAGTTGCGTTTCTCCATTGTGCGGCTACCCCGTGCCTTTCTGAACCGGGAGCCTCGCTTCCGTCCTCTGGTGACTTTCTTCTATTAACAGCCCAATTGTGTAATTTTTACTAGGTCAGCAGGAGATTTGCCAAAGCACTGCAGCATCTACCCTGTGTTTATTCTAGGTTATGGAGTGACTTTTGAATCTGTACTTATTTATTCTGCATACTATAATCACACCCAGGAATTTCTTTCTGCTTAACTCTCCTTGACCTTTTCTGTGACTGCCCTCACACGCCCCACGGCTGCGCCAGGGGCTATTTGGAATGTGCCTATTAAAAACCTCAGGGGACATGTTTGAAATTTTATTTCAGGTTTTAAAGGTGACATTTTGATATACTCGATCCATCTTATATATAAATTTCCTAAGTGTAAAAATCAGGACTGCATGAACTCTTAGAGACATTGTGAAAGGGAAATGTTCCCTTTTGTTTTAAATTAAAACATCTCAAGTTTCTTCTCTGTTCTGCCTTTGTAGATTTGGTCTAGTTAGGTTGCTAGCAAGATGCTAGTTTAGTTCCTGGATTTGTACCTTACAGGCTCATGGAATTGTTAGCCATGGAAAGGACCAGGTGCTGGGGGCCTGGTCCAGTCAAATGGCCCCTTAATGATGAAAGAGGAGCAAAGTGATGAAAAACGTTGAACATCGATTTCAAGTTTAAACACTTCAGTATGAAAGTGAAAGAAAGATGTTTAAAACATCTTTATTTTCAGACCCTGGCCAGGTAGCTTACTCAGCTGGTTAGAGCATCGTCCCAATATGCCAAGGTTGTGGGTTCAATCCCCGTCAGGGCACATACAAGAATAAACCAATTGAATGTATAAATAAGTGGAACAACAAATTCATGTTTCTCTCCCTCCCTCTCTCAAAAAACCAGTCAGTGAATAAAATTTAAATAAATAAAACATCTTTATTTTCAAAGCAACCCTCCGACTGGGAGGAGACACATTGGTGACCTCTACATTTTTCCTGCTCCCAGGCGGCTGTGGTGGTGGTCTTCAACTTTGCTATGGTTCTGCTCATTTTTCCTGCAATTCTCAGCATGGATTTGTATCGACGCGAGGACAGGAGATTGGATATTTTCTGCTGTTTCACGAGGTACATTTTCTGGCTGGTTGGGTGGAGTGGTTGTGTTTGGAGAGCGAGTCAGTGTCGACTGGGAGGCACATGTGCTTCCCAGGGCTGTACCTGCATGATGGGGCAGCAGAGGTCCTGAGCGGGGGATGCTGCCTTGGGGGCTGGCAGAAGCCTGGGGGCTCTCTGCCCCCCGACCACGTTCTCACAGCTCTGAGGCTGTGATACTCATGATGATTTACTTCTGTCACGAACCCGTGTAGCTCATCGTTGGGAGTACGTCATATCTGTGGATTAGGGCAGAGCAGAGGTTGAAAACCACCCACCTGGAAAAATTAGTCTTTTGGGTGGTTTTCTTTGTAAGGAATTGTGCTTCGAAGGGGTCTATCAGCATGTGACTCGATTTTGTAAGCCAAACGCAGGATCAGCCATCCCTTTGGCCTCCTTGATGTACTCGTGTCTCTGTCCGGACAGAGAAATCAGTGGTGTTTTGGAGCTCAGCCGTCTGCTGTTTCTCCCCTAAATCAGAGCTGTCGTTGGCAGGAACAAGAGCACTGTCTCCCAGTTTCAGGACCAATGCAGCCCGTGTCCCCTCTTTCAGCCCCTGTGTGAGCAGAGTGATTCAGGTCGAACCCCAGGCCTACACAGAGACGCACGACAGCACCCGCGCCAGCCCGCCACCCCCCTACAGCAGCCACAGCTTCGCCCACGAGACACAGATCACCATGCAGTCCACGGTGCAGCTGCGCACGGAGTATGACCCCCACACACACGTGTACTACACGACGGCCGAGCCGCTCTCCGAGATCTCTGTGCAGCCTGTCACCCTGACGCAGGACACGCTCGGTTGCCAGAGCCCCGAGAGCGCCAGCTCCACGCGGGACCTGCTCTCCCAGTTCTCCGACTCCAGCCTCCACTGCCTTGAGCCCCCTTGTACCAAGTGGACGCTCTCATCTTTTGCCGAGAAACACTATGCTCCTTTCCTCTTGAAACCAAAAGCCAAGGTAATCTGCCCAAACAGAAGACTCTTCCTGTCTTCAGGGAGTAACAGAGTAGGCTCCGTGGGAATTCGCCAGTGGGTAGGTTTCAGACCTCCGAGGGAGCCAATCCTTTGACAGCATGGGGCCAATTTAGTGAGCTCATCTTCTACAGGAGTGAATCTCTGTAGGAATTGTTTCTGTCAGTTTAGATCAACTCCTCACATTTTAAACATTTTATTATTCGTGAGGTTTAACATGGGATTATTGCCCAGCCAGTGTGGCTCAGTGGTTGAACGTGGACTCATGCACCAAGAGGTCACCAGTTTGATTCCAAGTCAGGGCACATGCCCAGGTTGTGGGCCCGATCCCCAGTGGGGAGCATGCAGGAGGCGGCCAATCGATGTTCTCTCTCATCGATGTTTCTATCTCTCTCCCCCTCTGCCTCCCTCTCTCTCTAAAATCATAAAGAGGAAGAAATAAATGGGATTATTATGATTTTATGTTTTTCCTTCTCGGAGTATGACCCTCCCCTATGTCAGGGTCAATGTGATGGCAACAGGGAGACAAACCAGAAAGCTTTGTTGAGGGATGGTGAGCTCCGTCCCTTGGGGTCTAACCTCATGCCTCTTTCCTCTGTTGCAGGTTGTGGTGATCTTTCTTTTCCTGGGCTTGCTGGGGGTCAGCCTTTACGGGACCACCCGAGTGCGCGACGGGCTGGACCTTACAGACATTGTGCCTCGGGAAACCAGAGAGTACGACTTTATTGCTGCACAGTTCAAATACTTCTCCTTCTACAACATGTATATAGTCACCCAGAAAGCAGACTACCCAAATATCCAGCACTTACTTTACGACCTTCACAAGAGTTTCAGTAATGTGAAGTATGTCATGTTGGAAGAAAATAAACAGCTTCCCAAAATGTGGCTGCACTACTTCAGAGACTGGCTCCAAGGTAAGGCGCGGGCACGTCCTTCCTCCGTGTTTGGTCTTGGGTGTGTTCAGCTTCCACAGTTATTAACATGTAACATTATGATGTAACACCGACATGTTACATTGACGTCTAAGTGTTGCTGAAAATTCTTATGTAGACTTTCTGGGGTGGCCTCCCCAAACTGGGTTTTGCCTATAAAACAATGCAAACAGTTCGTTGGGTGACTCAGGAATTCTGTAAGAATTTATGAGTGCACATTAGGAGATGGGAAAATACGTTATAAACTGTGGAGCTGGCTACTTCTAGTGTTTTGGGGGGAATGGTGGGTTGTTTGGGTGACCAAGTAAAAACAAAGTGTTGGTTGAATGTCTAGGCTGACTCACTGCCAAATCATAGTTTACTGCACCAATAGATTTTTGCATCCTTGGTGGATAGGATTTAAAATTCTGTATTTTGACCTTCTTTTGATTTGGCATAAAATGCCTTGAAGTAAACTTATAAATGGTTAATCACATCTCACAGTATTTAGTAAAAAATCAAATTCTGCTTTAAAATGCCTTTTCTAGATAGCTTCTTACCTTGCTCTTAGAAACACCTCCAGTACATATTTGTCAACTGGAGAAAAGAAATAGATCTAAATTTGCTCCTAACTACTGACTGAGTATGAATGAATGTATTCAGTGATGCCAAGAACATCTGTTCGCTTACTCTGTGTTGACACATGGAAAGTGAAGTGGAGAATCAATATAATTATTCACACAATTCAAGCAAAAATGCTGTTGCTGAAATACCCAAATAATCATGGCCCCCACCATTTCTTGGCTGAAGTTATGCAAATGATTGTCTTCATTTCCCACTTAATTAGATTTGTTGAAACACAGATTTAAGTGTCGTTTTGGTCTTGTACAAAAAGATTAAGCATCCAGTTTCCCTGTGAGTTTGCATGGAATGGTCAACAACTGGAGCTTAACTGAAATTGTTCAATACAGTTTCTGGCTTTGACTTGTGTTCCTAGAATTTTGTTCATTACACGTATACCAGATTTGACCTCTTTTTTGAGGAACGCAAAGAAAACTACATGATATTAATCTCATTTTTATTATGCTCGTAAGATTAATTTGAATTTGTTTCTAGTCTTATTTTTCAAAGTAGTTTGGGAATTACTGTTTTTTGGATAAAAAACAGTTGAGAGATTCCCTGCTTTCTGTCCCTCCTCTTCCCTGCCACTGGCCAAAGACACTCGGGTGACTTGCCACAGATGGCAGGGACTGCGGTGTGCTGCCGGTGTCCGAGCACAGGAGGGCTGCTGTGGGCCTGCCCGCAGTGTCTCCTCTGGGTGTGCATGGCCTTTGGGAAGGGGGCAGGCAGGTATTGTCTGTGGGCAGTGCAGGGGGCTTCTTATACTGTGTGTAAATTATTTCTGTGCTTTCATACCTTTAAAGACCTAAATCAGTTGGACTTGAGGATCTTTTTTAATGTTTTTAATCCTCACCTGAGGATATTTTTCCAAGTATCTTCAGACAGAGTGGGACGGGGAGAGAGAGAGAGAGAGAGGGAGAGAAACATCAATGTAAGAGGGACACATCGATTGGCTGCCCCCTGCACAACCCTGACCAGGGCTGGGGACAAACTGCAACCGAGGTACGTGCCCTTGGCCAGAATCGAACCTGAGACTCTTTGGTCTGCGGGCCAACGCTCTAACCGCTGAGCCACACTGGCCAGGGCTGAGGCTCTTTTTTTAAAGGTGTATTTGAATCCCATTTTGCCTGCTAAGTAGGCCGCACCCTCCTAGACCGTGTGAGATCCATTTAATGCTCTCAGTTCGGGGTCCGGGGAGCCTTGGAGCTAACTGCATCCGACTGCCAGGGGGTCCAACAGCCCGGGGGACAGGCCAGATTCTGGACCATGGGCTGCCAAACAGTACTTCAGCCCTGCCCAGTGCTTGATTTGGTCTTTGAACATTTCCTGCAAGGAAATTGGTTATTAATGCAATTATCATTGAAAACCATGTCATTCCACTGGTCTTTATCAATATTTCAGTAGTTACGGGGCGGGGGTGGGTGAATTCATAAAAATATAAAATAGCAATACAGAAATTGTCCCACATGTAAGTAAGGTAAAATTGAAGGTAAAAAAACCACATTGTGCATCATATACAAATGGTTTTTGTTTATATTTCACACTGGATATGCAAATATATTTTAAATGAGTTTTCTCTTTAGAGTCGCATATCAAAGAAAAATGGGCAGTGAGGATCATTAGCTCAGAGCTTCTCATCAGGAAATAATTAGTGTAAAATATTTAAAGTGAGAAAAGTTCTAGGTGAAACTTGCCATGTTTTGCAGTGCGTAGTGTCACCGTTTTTCCTGCAGTGTGCGTGCTGGCATATAAAATGCCCAAGGGCGTGGAAGCAAGTTCCATCCCTTGTTTTGTGTCCAGAATCATGGATCGGGCCTGCACTTAGGCAACCCATTGTTATTTGACCTTTCGGTCACTAGGCAGAAAGTAATATACTAATTATAGGGACTTGGTTTTTTTGCTGAGTTGGTAACTGTTTCTCACTCATCTCTGTGTTCCAAGTAGAGTGCCACGTGGGGGCCAGCAGCGTGGACCCTTCCACGTCGGATCTTTCTTACTTTGTTTTACTCCAGGGTGTCCTGAGATGCTTAGTTCATAAGTATCTGTAAACTACATTCCGAGTTTTGATGCCCCCTTTGCCACCAGGTGTTGGTGGTGCCCACGTTAACTCTGCCAATCTTACTCATGTTTTCAGCAAATCCTTCTTGGGCACCGTAGTGTGTTCAGGGCAATTGAGGGTCTCAGTGGTTCAAGCCAACTCTGGAATCAGGCTGCCTGGGTCCAAAGCTTAGCGCCAACACTTGCCTGCGTGTGGCCTTCCTTGAGTAATTTTACCTTTCCAAGCCACGGTTTCCTCATCTGCAAAGTGGGACTAATAGGGCCATCTCACGAGGTTGTTACAGGAATTAAACTAGGATTAACAACAGGTCAAGAGGGAGAAGGTCAAAGTACCATACAGGCAGGAAGGGATGCGAAATCTATTATGGTGAGGAAAACAGATCAGGCCTCTTTTTTTAGGGGGGTGCAAGGTTGTTTTTCCTTTCCTGTTTATTATTTTCCAAACCAGAAAAAAAGCTTCAGGTCATAAAATAACATCTGTTCAGTACCGGTTGCTGTGTGCACGCCTGGCCTGGGAACACGCTCTGTGTGAGCAGTGGGCGCCCGCCTGGTGGTCTCCCTGCGGCTGCTTCTCCGCTCTCGTCCCTAACGGCCTGCTCGCACCACTGAGCCCACAGTCCTCACCCCCAAATTGTTCGTCTAAAAACAACGCCACCCTGGCCAGTTTGGCTCAGCGGTTGGAGCGTCGGCTCGCGGACCAGAGTCTTGAGTTCAAGTACGGTCAAGGGCACGTACTTCGGTTGCGGTTCTGTCCCCGGCCCTGGCCAGGGTCATGCAGGAGGCAACCAATCTATGTGTCCCTCACACATCGATATTTTTCTCACTTTCTCTCTCTCTCTCCCTCCCTCTCACTCTATCTGAAGACAAATGGAAAAATATCCTTGGGTGAGATTTAAAAACATAAAATAAAATTAAAAAGTAAAAACAGTGCCCACAGCAATGTTGGAAGGAAGGTGTAATTAAAGACACAGACAAACCGAGGCAGGGTCCTGTGCTCCCTCCACCGCACTTCAAACCGCAGGAGCTTAAGCATTTTGAGCACTAATGGAACCCACTTTGGGGAGGGTGTCTTTGAAGTCACTTAGGGTATGTCATGAAATGAACGCTTCTATTTCTTACTGGCCACGTCTAACTCAGGCATGTACAGCTTGTCCAAAAGATGTGGTTTCCTGAGCTGCTAGGGCTCAGAGATCTACTTGGGAGGTGATTTGGGGGGAGCAGGGCGATGGAAAGGGGGTGGGGGTGTCGGCGGAGAATGTGTGCACACTCGGATGGCCAGACCCCAGGCCAGGTCACCAGGGCCCTGTTTTCTCTTCCAACACGCTTATCTCTTTACAGCTGTAGCCAAACCATCAGGTCTGTAATGATGGTTTTGATTACAGAGGCCAAGCGCAGCTGTGTGTGGTGGGCTGGTGGGCTCGCCCATCCCCCAAACCCAGACCGCTCTTTCCTTCCCCTCCCTGGGCTTGCGGTTTGTCATCTGTTCTCACAGAGCCCCCTTGTATTGGCCTGTGGCTTCCTGTTCTCAATCTGATCCAAATTTACCCTGTGAGGTATTTCCCTGCGCATACACGCGCACACAGCTCCCTGCCTCCTCTCTCCTCCCACCCCCTCTTCTAAGGAAGGGTGCAAAGAGGAAGAGAACAGTCGAGAGTGAATAGGTGTTGGCTGTGATCTTTACACAACCTGGCAGCCGATCCCACAGCTTGTATTAGCTCCACAAGTCGAACAGATGGAACAAATTGACAGAATCGTGTTCGCTCACCCTGAGCTCGAAGCAGCTGAGTTGCTGTTTGAAGTTGGGAGTTTGGATGTGTTTCTCCCCCTCCCGGTGGAATTTCTGGTTGTATTGAAGAGCCCATGGCTCGGCACCAGACAGTGGCATGAAACGGTTAATGAGCCCGCTGTGTCTTCTCCTGCTCTCTCTGGCTTCCTTTTGGAAAAGTCCTGGAGGAAAAGGAGTTATTGGTTGTTAATGGAATTAACATGTATATTTATTTCTTAGAAATGAATATTTTCCCCTTTCACCTTTAAAGCAACCATTATTAGCAACCTGAAGTTCCCTCATGAAAAATCTAATAATGTCACTTGCACTTGAAGTCACCCACAAGGAGAGCACAGAATGTTCTGGGCTGGTGTCCCGCGGCACCCCAGCCGCCCTTGGGACCGCGGTGGTTCGCCGCAGGGTTCTGACGCACCGCACGCTCTTGCCTCCTCCAGGACTTCAGGACGCGTTCGACAGTGACTGGGAAACTGGGAAAATCATGCCGAACAACTACAAAAATGGGTCGGATGATGGCGTCCTTGCCTATAAACTCCTGGTGCAGACCGGCAGCCGCGACAAGCCCGTGGACATCAGTCAGGTACTCTCACTGGCCGGCCGTGGGGGTTCCAGGGGCTGGCGAGACCGCTGCGGTGCGCGGCCTGTGCTTTCCGGAGACAGGAGGCTGCGGGCCAGACAAACACCGAAGGGCCCTCGTGCACTTCATCTCACCCCCTCCTCGTGCACCACAGGCAAGCCAGAGAGCCTCACTTTGCTCCTCTCAAGTGGGGGCAAGTGTGTCACCTGCCTACGGAGCAGTTGTGCAAACAGAGTACAGTCAGGGCAGTGCACGCTCTTTCCGATGATAGAAATGCGACGTGGTATTGTCTGCTTTGCCTTCCAGTGTTTGTTGCCTGGTTGGCCTTGATGGTTTTCAAATTTGAAAAGATGGTGTGGGTGTGTAGCAGCCACGTGAATGGGCAGACGTTGGGGTGACTGGACGGGCCGGAGATCAGAGAGATTACTAGAAGGACAGGAGAGCCTGCTCTGCGGATTCCCTTGGGTCGCTTGGCCCTAGGTGTCGAGAAGGGCAGGCAGGTTGCCCCATCGTGAGCAAGACACACAAATACTTGGAAAATAATTGGACTAACACCTCTCAGTCCAGCTGCGTTGGTGCCGCCGCGGTGACCCTCTGATCCGTGTCTCCCTGTGGATTCCTCAGGCGTGTTGGGAGTGTGTGTGGACCCCTCAGATTTCCAGCGACCCCAGCACTGCTGCCGCCTGTCCCAGATCTGTTTCCTCTGCTCTTTGTAGCTTACCTGCAACCTCCAGGAGAAAACCGTCCTGCTAATGATCTTCTCAGCAGCTCTGTTTATTGTCTCCCCTTTTTTGCTGGCATTAAAGGTGACAGATTTACAAAGTACATTGTTCAGAGTTATTATGGAGTGTGAACTCGGTGCTTTATGGCCGCATGCAGCACGCTGTCAGGTCTGACAAGGATGTGGGCACAAGAACCTGTCTGAGAGATAGCGGGAATGCCTGGTGGCTGTCTTGGGCTTCAGGGACCATGGACGCCATGGGACCTAAGTGATAGGGCCAGCCACCCCCACCCCACCCCCACACCTCACTTCCTCTGCCTGGGAGGGAGAGAAGGGTGCTGCGTGCACGGAGGCCGTGAGCTGTGCTGTGTAATCCCAGAGACGGCTTGAAGACATACAGTTGTTACATATCCTGTGGATTAATTGAATCCAGATCCCTGAAATGTAGTTCTCTCCCTCTGTTCCACTCTCTTCCTTCACTCTTTCTCTGTTAACGGCTGTCACTGGTGTTTTTCATGTTGTTAAAAAAGACCAAAAGCATTGGAACCGGGCCTGAACCTAAAGTAAACAGGACAAAAATATAGGGGTATGTGTGTGTGTGTATGTGTGTGTGTGTCTGTAGCTCTCTCACGCTGATTTGCACCTCAGCGAAGCCACCAGACCTGCGTTTGAGGGAGCATCGTCTGTGGCCAGCGTGGGCGTGGATCCTACTTGTGACTACCTCTCAGAAATAAGGTCACCCCGAAAGACCGTGGCTGTGCGCCAGTCCCCTCCACTTTCTGGCGATGGGCAGTTTTTGAATACACAGGTCATAGGAGGCTAGTGTTAGCAAAATTTATACAGATGTTGTTTTATTTTTATAGCTCTCCTCCATTTACTGGGTGGCATTTCCTTCAGTGTTAACAGCAGAGGTTAACTGCACACAGACGTGTATAGGGATTCTTGCCAGGTTTCCCCCCTTCCCCTCCTATAAATATGTTTCTCCAGATTGTTCCTTCTCCGCCTGGGCTGCAGACAGTCCTTTAGCGTTCAGACTTAATTGGTTCGCTTGATTCCCGGGCCATCTGCAGGGCTGTGTGTGTGATAAACACTCCAGTTTTTGCATCCTCTGTTCAGCGCATTTTGAGAGAAACCCAAGGTCTTCTGAGGGGATTTTTTCACTCTTACAGACCATGGGTATCCTAGGCTTCGTTGCAGTGCTGGTTCAGGGCTCTGCCTCTGTCAGCCGCCGAGCCCACTCCTCAAAGGCCTCTGTCTTCCCGTTCTGCAGCTGACGAAACAGCGCCTGGTGGATGCGGACGGCATCATCAATCCCAGCGCTTTCTACACCTACCTGACCGCTTGGGTCAGCAACGACCCCGTGGCTTACGCCGCCTCGCAGGCCAACATCCGGCCGCACCGTCCCGAGTGGGTCCACGACAAGGCCGACTACATGCCAGAAACCAGGCTGAGAAGTAAGTAGCCTCCACCAGGACCCACGAGCTCATGGAGCCCTCTCACCCCGTTCCTCCAAGTCCAGCCACAACCCCCATCCTCTGATGCTGCCCAGGGTTCAAAAGTGCAAACAGAATAATCTATTTCTTTCACTTTAAAACTCTAGGAGACAGATGAGGATGTGTAACAGAATAGGCCCGTGCTCTATCACGTTGAGAAATTCGCCTGTAACCTCCGCTGTAGCTCTCCCCCAAGACGCCCACCAGGCAGGGCGCTCCAGTGCCAGCTGTTCCCTGTGAAAGCCCGGACGCCTCCGGTCCAGTGTTACTTTGCTGTTGCCGAGTTTTATCACTGGGGATTATGTGTTTATCTTAACTTTGTCAACTCTGGTGTTGAAGGGATTTTTGGCAAGTCGGGTCATTCCTGCGAGCCACGGAGCACCTGTGCTCTGTCAGAGCCGTTCAAACCGAGCGGAAAAGGCTGCGTGCGGCGTCCTCTTCCGTTCGCCTCTCTGCTCCGGCTGAGGGGCGGCTCTGTGTGGGTGTACTTTGCATTTACCATAGAGATAGGAGTAGCTTATGCCTTGGAGAGGAAGCTGAGCCAGGACGGGAGAAAGAAGACAGGTTCCTTTGCAAACGCGACCGAGAGCGACGGGGTGTGTGTCCCTGGATCTAAACCCCGGTGCCTGTGGCAAGCGGCCAAGGCTTGTCTTAATGAAAATTTATAGTGGAGATTATAATAGGGCAAATCATGTTTAGCAAGTCAACTGAATGACCCCAAAGGGTCTGGAACACACAACAGCAGTCACTAAATGCCTGTTGTGTGAGGATTTCTTCCCCTGCGGCTGGGGCCGCGCGCCGCGCGAAGGGGCGGGAGGCCGGAGGGTAAGCGCACTCGCTGCAAGGATGAGCGAGTTACGCACTTTTCTCTGCAAAGCCTGACTTTCGGGCTGTTTGTTTTCCTGTATGACTGAGGGAAACAGTTTAAACTTGGTGTTTTCATGTGTGTCAGTCGAACAAAACATGTTCCCGCCACTGAATTCTTAAGTTGTTTAGACCCATTACAAAAGTGCTCCCAGAACATTGACATCAAAGGTTAGGTAAACACGGGAGTCACAGGCGTTCTCCCCCCCCCAAAAAACCATCCAAGGTTGATTATTGCTTTAAAAATGTTTAAACCGAACCCTGAAATCCTAAAGAGCGGACGGCTGTTGTTGGTGCTTTGTCCTCGATGTGGAAAGAAGCGCAGTAAGTGGGCTTCCTCGTGGGGTTCTTTCTCTGCTCGTTGTAACTGTGGAGAACTTGGGGACGTGCATTTGGTGTGGTCAACAATGGGAACTTGTCACATCTCTCCCATGCCTGGGTCACAGCCGTTTGCTCCTTTGCAAGGAACCCCTTACCCACGACTCTCCCTTTCGCCCTCTCTGTCCAGTCCCAGCTGCAGAGCCCATCGAGTACGCCCAGTTCCCTTTCTACCTCAACGGCTTGCATGACACCTCGGACTTCGTGGAAGCGATCGAAAAAGTCAGGACCATCTGCAACAACTACACGAGCCTGGGGCTGTCCAGCTACCCCAACGGCTACCCCTTCCTCTTCTGGGAGCAGTACATCGGCCTCCGCCACTGGCTCCTGCTGTCCATCAGCGTGGTGCTGGCCTGCACGTTTCTCGTGTGTGCCGTCTTCCTCCTGAACCCCTGGACGGCCGGGATCATTGTGAGTTTATTCTGAGGGTCTTTGTGGAAGTCACATTCCTTTCAGCATAGCTCTTTCTGCAGCCGGGCAGCTTTGTTTATGTCTGGGCCTCTGGAGGAGGGTATAGATTGCATCATCCATACTGTATTTATTCTGCCGGAGGTGGCGAGGTTCATGGTTAGGTAGAGCCTTTAATGGCCTCACTCCTGTGTCCTTTTTCCCTGCAGCTTTAAACTTTTTGTGTAAGCACACTTTCCATAACAGTGCCGAGCATTTATGAAATATAAACACGCAAAGCAGAACGAATGTTTTTCAATTTAAGTGTCATTTGGGGATCATTTCAGACCTAATATAGAGAAGGTTCTCTACTAAATAGAGGGACAGTTAGAGAAGGTAGGACAGTGGTGTAGGAATAGAATAGGTTCTGTGTGCACTGTGTATTTTAACTCTTGGGAATGGTACACTGGTATTGAGCACCTAGTTTTTGGCATCCTTTCTGCACATATAATACTCTCAGATTTGAAGAAAGTTTTATGTAGAGTCTAGTAAAATCATGGCAGTGTTTAAATTCCATGAACTGTGGTGTAGACTTCAAAATGCCAAAATTATAAAAACAAGAGACCAGGTCTCGTTTCTGCACCATAAGTCTGCGCAGCAGGTATGTTAAAAGGTAAATGTTTAGTCTGTGGGACTTTTCGCGGTACTTACGCAGTTGACATTGTCCATCTTTCATTAGCTTATTGAAAGAAAGCAAAGGAGACTTTCATTAGGCTCGTCCTGCCCTGTCAGCGCTGCCCACTGCCCCACCCCCGAGGAGGGAAGACCTTTCTCTCCTCTTCCCTCCATTGTAAAGTGTGTTGTTTGATGTGTATTTTCTCCCCTTTGGCCCAAGAAACTCCAGAATCTACCTCACAGATTTTCTTTCCATCTCCTCACAAATTTTTACAAGGCAGATGAAAGGCAAATAAAAGCTTTCCCTGGGATTTAACTGTTCGCTTTGTCCACCCCAGTGGCTCTCCGTGTCTTCAAAGTGAAGGGGGTTGTAACCTGACCCGCTTTGGCACTGACATGTCTGTTTTCTCCTGCTTAACTTGCTCCCAAGTCTTCCTCCCTGAGTCCGTGGGCTCGAGACAAAACCACGGCTTCTTCTGGGGGAAGGAGCTTGACTCGCCCTTACTGTTGCCATTCTTTAGGGTGGAGGGCAGTCAGCCAGGAACTCCGAAGGATCCACTCCTTCCAAAGTGGAAGGATGGTGAAGATCAAAACAGAAGGAAATACTTTGTTTCAAACTGTATTTGTAGCTCGTGATGAGTTCTTATTTGTATAAATCTTTGTATGTTGCTCTGGTGGAGTTTTGAAAATGATATGCTTTCTAGAGCAGGTATATTGAGAAAACAGTTTGCAGTGGCAAACTACACTTTGCCTTACTGTATTCCTGCCATCCCCAAATTGTCTCCAAGTCTCCGCTCCCAGCAGGAAGATGGTGAGTTAGAAAGGAAAGGCAGGTGTTAGAAGTTACGGCAGGTCAGTGCTTCACTGTATTTGGGTCCCGGGTGTTTCTCTCTGCTGTTGATCTGAAGTAAGGCCCCATCAGGACTTCAACAGCCCCTTGCTTTCCACACCTAGTGTGAGTCTGTGCCCAGCCACTCATCTCTGTGCCTCCTGACAGGTGACAGTCCTGGCTTTGATGACAGTCGAGCTCTTTGGTATGATGGGCCTCATCGGGATCAAGCTGAGCGCTGTGCCCGTGGTGATCTTGATTGCGTCCGTCGGCATCGGCGTGGAATTCACCGTCCACGTTGCTCTGGTACGCGGGGCTTTGCCAGCTCAGCTCTGAGAAAGCCACGTATTCCCTCTAACCCTTGTGGTCTCCAAGTTGGGAGCCTTTTCACTTTCTCTGACATGGAGGAGCACACCCAGTACATGCACCGTGCACAGGCTTCAGACGGCCCTGCCTTCCTAGGAGTGGCTGGACTCCTTCCCCCTTCGGGAGGCTGAGGGGAAGGTCAGCAGAGGTGAACTTGCTGGGCCAGGTCAGCCACAGGCGGTATCGGCAGAGTGTTTGAGGGGCCAAGAAGGATCCTGTTTATCTGGTGTTGTCATTAGTGTCACCACAGGTCCTGAAGATGTCGACTGTGCTTCCAAGACACATAGTGTGTGTGCGTGTGCGTATGTGCGCGTGCGTGTGTGCACGACTACACACAGTGCTGGAAACCACCTTAATGAAGCAGGGATACAGTGAGACCACACTGGGTCTCACTGGGGATAGCGTAATGGAGGGCGAGGCGAATTGGCAGCCGCAGAGACGCCCTGGGGCTGTGAGCGGAAGCCAGGTGCTCAGCTCTCACCTGAGCCCACCCAGCTCCTTCACCTTCCAGCCAGTGTGGCTCCCAAAGGAAGTCTTCCCTTCGTTCTGTGCCCAGTCCTGTGAAGGCTTTGTTAGAGGGACGTAAACTGCGGGAGTCTTAAATCCAAGAGACAAACCCATTGTCTGTGTGTATCGGAATTATTCGGCAGCCTCCTGGCAGTATGTAAGTCATGTTCCGTGTGCACTGTGCTTGTAGCCTGAGACTGTGGGCTGTTGGTCGGCATTCGGCGAATATTTATTGACTGAATAAGTACTGATGCTTGGAATGCCCCAGCTAGGAAACCCAGCACTGGAATCTACCTAAATACGTTGAGCTTTGCTTCTGTAGTGTCCAGATTGCTTTGCTTTGGGCTCAACACGCGGCACAAGTGTGTGTGTGCGTCTCCTCCTGCCCTGTACCTGCTGTAGTCCTTCGCAGGAGTCTCTCTGAGCCACTTTCATGAACTTGGAGATTGTATACATTTGTGGTTCAGAAGGAATGTTTTGTTGAAATTGACCCGTTTTTATCCTGGTGTGTAGTGAGAGGAGCTTACAGAGCGAGTATTCTCTAAATTTTGAGCTTGCCCAAGTTCCTTCCTCCGTTGAACCAGGAGGAGGGAGAGAGGAAGGGCCTGACAGCCTAGAGCTTAGAAACACAGAATCCTCCTATTTCTTCAGAAGGGAGAAAACATTGAGTGTGAATTAAGAATTCACAAGTCGTTTTATTCTGATGCAGCGCTGGGTTGGTGGCTTGCATTGGGCAGATCCGTCCTGGGACAGGTTCTTGCCGTGGGGATGCACCCTGCAGGGGCACCCACTCTCTGCCCAGGAGGTGGGGTGAGCATGAGCACCCACACCGGGGTGGAGTAAACAGTTAAGGAGTGTCTCCGCTGCTCCTGCGAGATTTAATTCCGAAAATGTGAGGAGTGTCAGGAGCCCACGGGCTGTGTGAGCAGCAGCCCCTGCTCCATCAAGAGACTGTCCACAGAGGGCATGGTGTCCTTGCCTTTGGCTGTGTGCAGACTTTCAAGGGGGCAGTTATTGCTGGTGGTGAAATGCGTTCTTCCATGAATGTCTTCAAAGAGTCTGGGATCCTGTCTATTTGCTGTTGCAGTAACAACTGAATGTGAGAGGGTGAACCAGCCTGACCCTTCTGGCCTCATGGCCCAAGTACAGCACAGTCACAGGGTTCCAAACGACTCGTGCTTTCCTCCCCAGAGGAAAAGGCAACAGGAGTGGCCCTGAAGTCTCCTTGTAGAGCCCACTTAAGAGAAGAGTGTGAAGACTCATAGCACACCTTGGTATTCTTGTGTTTCTTGATCCATTAAGGAAAGTAACCTCCTGCCCCTCCACAGGGTGCATACGCCGTGGCAGCGTACCCCGAAGTGTGCTGTTGGCCTGGTGTCTAAGCAGCCGCGGCTCTCAGCACACCCCACAACAACAGCCTGAACTTTCAGGCGGAGAGAAGGTGTGCCTGGCCCAGCCCTCCCTGTTGGGTTCCCGCTGTCGGACCGAGCCGGGTGTAACAGTAACTGACCCACATTTAATCAGTCCTGAGCCACACCCTCAAGTCACCAATCTAAGGCTGACAGCCTGATACACTGAGACTTTGTCTAGTTGCCATTTAGTAAAACGGCATTCTTGACCTAGAAGAGCTTTGGAGAAGGCAAAGGAGACAGGGGTATGTCCACCAGTGGTCAGAACAGGATTAATTTGAATTTAAAATCCGGTACTGTCCTTGCGCTGTGCCCGTGGTGCTTGGATGTAGTACACAGCGACAGAAACCCTAACCTCAGCACATCGTGAGGAAGTCGTGCTCGGCACCTGCTTGCCCGGGACACAGTGAAGCCCATTCAGAATTAAGGTCCTGACCATCTAGAAGTCAGGCAGCTGGAGGTCCCCATGTGAATGATGTGAGAGAACTTGGGTCAGAAAACTCCAGGTGAGCGGAAGTGAAAAGAAGGGAACTTTGAGCTCATTTTTGTATCATTTTGGTTTGGTTTTCAATTTCAAGCAAGTATGCTTTTCATCTTGTTGTTACTCAAGATGTACATGAACACCAAATATGACCCAATATCATGAACAGGTCATCGTGCAGGCCAGATGTAGCTAGATGAGTAACCCTGACTAAACATGCCAAGAGCTAAACAGGAAGATCTGAGATGTTCTTAGAGGCAGATGAAAACAGCCTCAGAATGGAAGACGAGCCCGGTCCAGGACTGACGTCCCCTCTCTCGTGCACAGGCCTTCCTCACGGCCATCGGCGATAAGAACCGCAGGGCCGTGCTGGCGCTGGAGCACATGTTCGCGCCCGTCCTGGACGGCGCGGTGTCCACGCTGCTGGGGGTGCTGATGCTGGCCGGCTCGGAGTTCGACTTCATCGTCAGGTAAGCAGGAGGGGGGCGAAGACTGTTTTAAATCAGTGCTTGTTCATGTGCCTCTGCTGCTTCTTTCCTTCTGTGTGGAGTACATTACAACATTTCTCCTTCCTTATGACTCAGCTTCCCCCATCTTTATGGAGGTGTAATTTATAATTAACAAGTAAAAAGCATATCTGTTTAAGGAAGACAGCATGTTTTGATTACCACAACCTTTGACGCCATTTTCTTTTTAGTTTATTAACTCGGAGACTCTGCTAGGGCCAGCTCGGGGAGAAAGGATGGAGGATTTGGAGCTAGCACTGCACAGCTCCAGGCCAAAGGATCACCCATTTGTTTGTATTCCAGGTTAGAAATAGCTGCAGAAAGAGATGCCTGTGGTTCCCATTGATTGACCAAATTTGACCTTTGCCTCTCTTTCAAAACTGTATGAAAATTGTCACCTAGATTTTATTCATATAAGAAGTGAAGATGTCCGGCTGGTGTGGCTCAGTGGCTGAACGTCGACCCATGCACCACAAGGTCGCTGGTTCAGTTACCGGTCAGGGCACCTGCCCAGGTTGTGGGCCCGATCCCCAGTGGGGGGCATGCAGGAGGCAGCCAGTCGATGTTCTCTCTCATTGATGTTTCTATCTCTCCCTCTCCCTCTCCCTTTCTCTCTAACATCAATAAAGGAAAAAGTAAAAGAAGTGAAGATAATGTGTTCAGATTTCAGATTCAAGTTCCCACTAAGATTTAGGACGCATTTAAAATGTGACTATGGCGTCGAGTTTTGGAGAGCCAAGCCTGGTTTGGCACTTCCCTTTAGGTCTCAAAGCTAGGGGTTGCGGGTGAATTTAATGAAGAAGGTGACTTGGTGAAGTATGAAAGGAAGAGCAGGATTTCCTTATGGAAAGAAGTTGAGAACAGCGGGGCAGGACCCTTCACCGGTCCGGACAGCTCTGCCGCTCTGCAGCAGCTGCTCTGGGAGAAGCCGCCGCTCGCTGGCGGGGAGGCGGGCCAGCAGCATCCGTAAACACACGCTCATCCAGGATTAGAGCCACATGTGGGAAATGGCTGGCTTGTTTGTGATGCTTCTGGAATCTGGAGCGAGAATCCAAACAGGCTTCCTTGGGGTTTTCAGTTTTTGCCAGTTTATTACAGATGAAACATCGCTGGTGTGGGCCCCACTGGGCGGTCCAGCATCTTGGAGCTTTAGCCAGACGTTTGCTCGCCGCCATTTGGGTGCAGGGCGAGTGAAGAGGCGAGATGCTGCTGCAGGCAGGTCACGCTTCTCAAACTGGAAGGTGGCTCTGTGAATGCAGGTCGGATTCCCGGGGTGGGGGGGAGAAGGGCATTGCCAGCCTGCTCCCAGCTGATGCTCTTACTGCTGATGTTCTCAACACAGACTGTGGGTCAGCTCACAAGTCAGCCAGCACATTCCTGTTTGCCTTTGCCAGAGAGATGTATGCCTCGGGTAGTGTGAGGTTTTGGTTGGGGTTTTGTTTTAAGCCCTTCATTTGACTTTTCCTTTATTTCCTTTGCATACATTTATTTATTCGGGCATTAGTCCTTATTCCTTTATGGTATAAAAAGCGCTACGTCAAAAGATTTTTCTCTTGTGTAATTTCTCCTTTGACACAATGTGACAAGCACCTCCTAAGTGCCATTTCACACACAGCACGTAATATGGACACCATCCACTTCCATGTAACGTACGGGAAAGACAGGTTCACAGGCCATGCTGAACCGCGGGGAATGCAGGGTATGACAGGAACTCAGTGGCTCTGACTGTCTGGGGGATGCCAAGGGAGCCACACAGAAGGCACTTAGCCCGAATCTGAGTACCCAGCTGGCTCCCTGGATGGAGGGCAGAATCCCAGCTCTCTTACCGAACCCTGGCTGCTTCTCTCCCAGAGATATCAGAGTTCTTGTTTCAAGCACTTAAAAGGGCTTCCCATTTTCTAGAACTGGATGGATTAACCTGATAAAGCCCTCACTGGGGTCGACTAGATGAGCAGACATTGTATACACTAAGCGTCAGAAATCTAATTGGTCTGTTTATGCTACAGTTAGATGGATGGGATGCAAATGTCTTAATGCTCGCTGCTGATATATGCCTCTGCCCAGAGTTCCCGCAGTTTACATTAGAGCAAGACGCTGGCCGCTTGGCTTTCACTAATGCAGCTCAGAAGTTTCTAGTGTTTACAATAGCTGCGAGGTATTTGTATTTTTATAGGGATTTTCTCTCCTTTCATCTAAGGTTGAAATATATATAGAAATGGCAAAGTTTGGTGCCTGTTCTGTTTTATGATCAAGAAGACCATTAACAGATAGATATTTGCCCTCCCTCTTCCCCGAACATCCTGAGTTCTCCCCCAACCCAGCCCACTTCCAGCAGAATTGCCCTAGAAATCATTAGTTACAGAAACACATGCTTGCGGGGAGCCTGCCCCTCCCCATGTGGAGAGTCGGCCTGGCGGTCCCTGGCTGACAGGTTTACCTTGGGATTCGTGAACGATCGCAGACTTGGCCGTCGGTGGGAAAGCAGGCCCACTGTGCACGCCCCTCTTCTCCATGCCGCTGTGGCCTTTATGTTTGAATTGGCTGACGCCAGACAAGAGCATTCAGAGATGCTAAATTGTTCAACAAAAGATTGGCCGCAGAGCAGCCCCGTGACTGGACCGCCCTCCCCCCACACATGCCCCAGAATGGGCAGTTTTCTCTGCTGAGAGCTGCTTCCTGTGTTCTAAAGACGGTGGCCTTTGGAGCGCTTTGGTTCAGCGGGAACTCACAGAGTTCCGAACAGAGTCATGATTCACGGAAGCCGCACCTGACGCACTGGAGGCTTGGAGATTCTGCTCTGGGAGGCAGGAGTGTTCCGCCCTGGACTGGCCGCTGCACCAGTGGGCTGCTTCTCCTCCCGGGCGAGATTGTTTCAACTCTGCACTGTTCACTTCATTTGCTTGCTTCTGCTGGGTTTTCACGGACAGGGCCCCTCTGCATTGTGTTTGTGCTTCCGGTCTGCTCAGCCGTTCAGTTTGCATTCCATATCTGTGTGTTTGTGTGACACATTCGTAAATGACGTTACATGCCATGAGATTTCAGCAGTTCAGCAAACTAATTCTCTCTCACCCCTCATGGTTGTGCAATGCAGCCCTCAAAATCATGAGGTAAAAAAAAGAAATCTAATCCCGTGCTGAGTGTGAACCGCAGTTCTGTGACGGCCTCTTCGCCGGTGGGTCTGGCCAGCGACTGGCCTGTGGCGCGCTGGAATATCTGGGTCTGTCTTCGCCACAGTGAATGTTTCTGTTTCCCGTTGTCTTCAGGTACTTCTTCGCCGTCCTGGCCATCCTCACCATCCTGGGTGTCCTCAACGGGCTGGTCTTGCTTCCAGTCCTGTTGTCCTTCTTCGGGCCGCAGCCTGAGGTCAGTGATTTCGCTGGGTGTGGCGTGCAGGCCACGGGCCGCCTCGGTGCTGCTGTTCCTGGTGTCACTCTTCATTTAGATAATTTAGGTGTATTCACATCACTAAAGATTTACTTTTTCAGTGAGCATCTCAATAGCTATCACTTGTTCCTCTTCAGTGTAATAGTTTCGGGGTGGCAGTACTGCTTTCTTATGGGCAGCCTTAGCCCTATAGGTGCGTATCAGTGAAGCATTGTCCCCTCGGGGTAAATGTCCGGCCTGAACTAGAGGAAGAGGCCCGTGGGAAAGCAGAGGGCAGTTCTTTGCTCCAGCTGTCAGACCTTTGAGTTCTCCACAAGGTGGCAGGGAGGGGGAGGGGAATACAGCTTAGTGGTGGGGGGAGGGCAGAGACCCCTGAATGAGACTGTTCTTTGAACTTGAGTGGCCAACAGGTAGATGGAAGCTCGCACTTTTAATGTAGCATCCTCTTAAATAGGTATCTCCAGCCAACGGGCTGGATCGGCTGCCCACCCCTTCCCCGGAGCCGCCCCCCAGTGTGGTCCGGTTTGCTGTGCCCCCCAGTCATTCGAACCACGGGTCTGATTCCTCCGACTCGGAGTACAGTTCTCAAACGACGGTGTCGGGCATCAGTGAGGAGCTCCGGCAGTACGAGGCCCAGCAGGGCACCAGGGGCCCCGCCCACCAGGTGATCGTGGAAGCCACAGAGAACCCCGTCTTCGCCCGCTCCACAGTAAGTCAGCCCCGGGCAGCCCCGCCCGGCTCTGCGCAGCAAATCTGCCGGACAGGATGCGAAAGCCAAGTAGAGGTTAGGTGGAATCACAGGAAATTGCCAGTATTTGGCCCTTCCTAAACTAGAAGAGTGTCAGTTTCATATGGTTGGATCTCACACGCCTCAGAAAGGGCAGAGTCCAGATGCTGCAGCGCAGCGGCGTGCACCTCGGGCTCCGTCACTTGGAGCTGAGGGGCTGGAGGGAAAGCAGGCCTTGCCTCTTTTTTGTTTTAGAAAAGATACTTTTAAAAAATGGAGTGGGGTTTTTATTGTGAGCACAAGTGGTATATTTTTTCCTCTCACTTTTATTACCTTTGGTACAAAATTATTTCCACTATTGTTGACAGACTGTACCAGGACCTTTTGTGGCTCCAGGTGCGTATTCTAGGGGCTAAGCAGCTTAACCTTTGGTAGAAAGCGGGGAGCCTGGAGCCCCCCTCCCAGAGCCCATGCTCCGCAGGTGGTTCTGCCTGGGTCCTAGAGCACAGCACACAAACCCAAGGAAGGTTCTAAGGCTCGGATGCCCCGGCCGAGGCCTCCTGCTGTCCCTCTAGGAAATGGGTATTGCAGTCCCAGGCCAGAGCAGGCCTCCCATGAAAGAGAAGGCCAACCAAATAACCCCAGTTCCCCCACCCCCCCGTGTGATGCTGCTGAGCTGCAGTGTGAATCTGGTTTTGTTCAGCGGGAGCCTAAAAATAGGTACAAGCTGAACGACTTTGAAGTTGGTCACGGTCCTTTTGATTGATGTGGCCACTGTGTTGCTCCAGGCTTTGTATAGAGACCCAGAAACCAGATTCCCAACAACGGGACAGAGCAGGGCAGAGCGGCACTGCCCTGCAGACTTTCTGCAAGGACCAAAACGCTCTTAGCCACCTGTGACTGTCAAGCACTTGACATATGGGCATGAGACTGAGAACCTGAATTTTGAATTTTAGTTCATTTAAATGTGAATAGCTATATGTCCCTAACGGCTGCCGTGTTCAACAGCGTAGGTACAGACAGTCCTGTCAGCGTCTGGCCTCTGGGCGAGCCAGGGCCAGAGGCTTAGCAGTTGGAGGAGTTCAGGAGCTGACCCGGAGCAGCGAGGGGTGGTGGACTGAAGAGGGAGGCAGCTCGGATCCTCTCCGACCGCAGCCCTGCATTTGCGGGCCGCAGCCATGTGTCCAGCCAGCTGTGTTGGTGGAAGCCTAGACGCAGGGTCCAAGTCAGGCGCTTCCCTGCCGCGTCTGGGAGGCTCCAACAGAACAGGCTTTTCTTTTGTGAGTGGAAGGCCCCTGTTGGCTCCCGGGCCTCTCCCAGCCGTTTGTGGGGTCCACTGAGCTCTTGGTTAAGAAGAGCTGTGTGTGGGTGGCCAGGCGGGAACTGGAGCCAGTAAGGGCGGGCCGGGAGCGGTGGGGCTGCTGCCCAGCCTGCTGTAACCTGCCCTCGCCCTCTGCAGGTGGTCCACCCGGAAGCCAGGCACCACCCACCCTCGAACTCTCGACAGCAGCCCCACCTGGACTCAGGGTCTCTGCCACCTGGACGGCCAGGCCCGCCGCCCCAGAGGGAACCTCCCAGAGAGGGCTTGCGGCCGCCCCCCTACAGACCGCGCAGAGACGCTTTTGAAATTTCTACTGAAGGGCATTCTGGCCCTAGCAATAGGGACCGCGTGGGCCCCCGGGGAGCCCGCTTTCACAACCCTCGGCACCCGGTGTTCACTGCCGTGGGCGGCTCTGCGCCCAGCTACTGCCAGCCCATCACCACCGTGACGGCCTCGGCGTCCGTGACTGTTGCTGTGCACCCCCCGCCCGCCCCTGGGCCTGCGCGGAACCCCCGCGGGGGCCTGTGTCCTGGCTACGAGGACTACCCCCAGACGGACCCCGGACTGTTTGAGGACCCCCATGTGCCTTTTAACGTCCGGTGCGAGAGGAGGGATTCCAAGGTGGAGGTCATAGAGCTGCAGGACGTGGAGTGTGAGGAGCGGCCCCGGGGCAGCAGCTCCAACTGAGGTGTGTGAGGCCGGAGGACGGAGCAGAGCTCCTGGGTTTCTGGCCTTGGAGGCCCTGGCTTTGGTATGTTCCGAACTGAACGTCAGTGACCTCTGATCCCCAGAGCAAGGCTGCCATGTCCAAGCTCTGTCATCACTGGGGACCCAGACGTGTCCCAAATTAGGTGTCCCTCACACGTTAGCCTGCTGAAGGTCAGTGCGACCTGACAAGGATGCTGACAGCTGCACCTGTCGCCCCTTTTTCAGTCTTTGTTAAGGTGCCCTACAGGTATGTAGGACAAGCACACAGCTCAGCGAACGGTCACCGGCCCCTAGACCAAGGAAAGGAGCCTGGCCCACCCCGGAAACCCCGCTGGCCCTCGTCCAGCCCCCCACCCTGATTTCTCATACGTAGATTCCTTTTGCTTGGTAGTGTGCTTCGTAAATATGGACTCATACACTTGGTGCTTAGTTTGACTTCCTTTGTTTTCTTTTAAAGGGTGAGTGAAATCTGAAGCAAAGAGGCCAAAGATTGGAATCCCCCCAAGCCCCCCCAGAACTGCTTGAAGAGAACTGCTTGGAGTTAGAAAGATGTACTTCCCCAGGATCGCAGTTCATTGTTACTGTAACCGGCTGTATTATTTTGTGAAATATTTCTATAAATATTTAAGAGGTGTACACATCTGTAAATACGAAGGAATGATGTAAAGTAGTGTGTGTTCTGGGGCTTCTCCACCTCCTGCCCCAGGGTGGGCGCGGGGGGAGGGGGGGCAGCTGCGGCCAGGCCCCGCCCTATTTGTACATTGGTTTCGGTGCCACGACCAAGCTTAACTTAGTCTTAAATTTCAGCATATGCTGCTGCTTAAATATTGTATAATTTACCTGTATAATTCTATGCAAATATTGCTTATATAATAGGATTATTTTGTAAAGGTTTCTGTTTAAAATATTTTAAATTTGCATATCACAACCCTGTGGTAGTATGAAATGTTACTGTTAACTTTCAAACACGCTATGCGTGATAATTTTGTTATTGTTTAATGAGCAGATATGAAGAAAGCACGTTAACCCCGGTGGCTTCTAGGTGTAGTGGATGCGGTACTCCTGTTTGGCTGTATGTGAACACGTGTGTGATTTCCCAGTGTACTGTACTGTGATTTTTTTTTTTCTGTTTTTGTTTCTTTCACTGTGTGTAACCTTCAGTGGGCTATGCCCTAGTCAGGCTGGAAGAGTCAGGGTACCTGCTACTGCCTGGTGCTGGTGGGGGGCTAGCCCTGCCCTAAATGTCGCCATGTGCTTCAGCCACACTCACTTCAAGTCCAGAGCATCTCTTAAGATCATTGCTGCCACCCAGACACCCCAGCTCGTGCCTTGGAGGAGATAAGTTCCTTCACACAGATCTTTGTGGTGAACATCGGAACCTCAGGGTATAGCGCTAACATCTGTTCCTCTTCATCATTGTTCAAGAACTAGAGATGCCTGGCAGTGAGCCTCAGCTGGGCGTGAGCATGTTATGCAGCCTTCATTGTACGTCTCATGACCAGCACTCATACACACCCTAACCCACCCCCCAGAGTGGATTAAAAATGTTTTGGAGATAATGGCCTTACTACAGGTAGAAAAATCTGTTCATTCTGGGCCCACAATAAACCTAGAGGTGATGTTTTGAGTCCCTTTCTTCCGAAATTGCACAGTGGGTTGGGCTTTCTGAATCTGTTTGCGTCTTTGAATAGCAAGCATTCAATAAGGTGACACGGGGCCAGGAGTTCTGTAGGATACGAGCTTTAGAAGGATCCTTCTCAGCGTGTTTATGTTAACATGGGTGCATACTTCCTAAATAAATTATTCCTCCCTCACCATTATAAGTGTTCTTTCAATGTGACATTTATCGACAAGCAGGAAGGTGCTAGGTGCATGCGCTCCACTCAGGAATGGATGTGGAGGCAGACTTCTCAGCCAGGCATTACTTTTAAAGATCTGCGCCTGTATCCATTCTGTCGCCTTGCTCTGAGGCTTGGTCTCCCTCAGCTGTTAGCCGAGACCAGCATGTCTGGGAAGCACTTGCCCAGACTGAGCTACTAGGAGTGCACATTGGCAGCTCCCGTCGCGCCCTCCTGTTTTACATGGAAAATCTTAATGGGAAGGCAGCGGCCCCAGTAATACCCAGCAGTGACCTCAGACCCTAAACTCATAACAAAACTGTAAGATGCTAATTGGAAGCCACCTGTGGGTGCCAGGTGTGTGTTAATATGCCAGGGGCCCCAACGGCCCCACTGCTACTGTTTGGTGCCTCCGTGAGCCACACTGTGTACCTAACACCAGCTCTGCTCAGACAACTTCCAGGTCCTGCGTTCAGGAGAGAGATGATGCAAAAATCCGAGGTCTGTTTCCCTCTGGCTCGTGGCGTGGCCTTGCTCCTTCCCTGAACCCAGCGTGTGGTGCATGACAGCTTGCCCGGCCCCTGCTTTCTGCGCAGAGAGAACTTTCTCCGATAGTCACATTGGCAAAGGGAGAACACGGGGGCTGGCAGGCAACTAGAACTTTTCTCCTCTCTTTAAAATAGTTTTATTTTTGTCTGTCTTGTTTGTTCATTTGGATGTTTTAATTTTTTAAAAGAAATCTTGGCTGATATTTATAATTTTGTATCATAAGAATGTTTTCCTACAGTATTTGTCATGCCAGTTTATAACAAAAAAAAAATGCAGGGATTTTTATTTCTATTGGAAACACTATTACAGCTATGTTTTACTTTTGAACAGAATTTTTATTTGTATAGAGTGCTTACTAATGTTAAATAGTTCAGAGTATATAACATTTTCATTAAGGTCTCATAGTAGGTTTTAGTGTAAGGAGTTTAAAGGAAATAAATATTCAAACTGGGTCTCATTGTCTGCCAAGTTTGGTGGAAATGGGTTTGTGTCATTTCAATTACAAAGATAAAAGTATGCCATATAATTTATTTATATGAAAATTTATTTTTGTAGTGTACATAGTAGTCATCAAGTCTTTTGACAGAAGTATATTTTTAAAGAATTTATATGTGATGAATCCGTAATGTCTGGAACTTCGCTGAGACGTGAGTGGGGCACACTTTTCATTGTAAAGTACAGCAAGGAGATGTTTAACAGTGTTAAGAGAGTGAGATCGAGTGAATATTCATGCAATTGTGAAGTGTGTATTAGTTACCATTTGTGACCTAGTGTGGTTCTCATTTTAAACCTTGGAAGGCAAAAATGTACAAACTCTCTAAATATTAATGTTCAAACACTGATAGAAATTCTAACATGAATAAAAAATAATATAACTTGTTGGTATGTCTTTGTTTATAGAATGTTTTTTAAGCAAAATATTTTATGAAGGCAGTGAGTGTGTCAGGCCATCGTAACTTGGCTGTTCCCTCTTAGCAAACTTGTGGAATACTCATTGTTTGGCTCCACTTCATGGAGGCATTGTTGATGCAAAGAGTTCCTAAATTATCAGAATGGTCCCTTCTGTCATCTCTTTAACATTCTTACTTTTTATGTGATGCCTAATAATTGGAATATTTATAAAGACAATCAGTGGTTATTAAAATAAATGAAGGTGTCATACAGTATAGCTGACAATATGGGGCTGATGAACTTGATGCAGAATGTTACTTTTTGAGGGTTTGTGGTATGATTAGACCTTATCTTCAGTGTAGCCATGGAGAAAATCAGGGCAGGAGTGGTGGGGAAGACCTAGATTGCTGTTAAGTATGTGCTGAGAGGTCAGCACACTGCAGCCCACAGGCTTCCTCCAGGTTTTGTAAACATTTATCAGAAGACAAACACTTATCCGTGCAAATTGCCTGTGGCTGCTTCCCAGCTATAGTGGCAGAGTTGAGGAATGGCAGCAAGACTATGGCTTGCAAAGCCTGAAATATTTACTAACTGGCCCAGAAAGAGTTTGCTGACCCACTTTATGACAAGTTTATCACAGGCCGATGATGCTCAAGTGTTACGAGGCCCATGGATGGGCAGCGTTGGCCTGCCCTGGAGGCTCGCTGGAAAAGCAGGATCTTCAGGGCAGCCCAGACCAACTGAATCAGAACCCGGGAATCTGCTTTCATGAGCTGTGCTGGTGGTTCTAGTGCACCAGCAGAGGTGATCCCCAAATTCCTTCCAGTTGCTTGTGGCCATGATTCTATTATTTGACTAGGGCTATACACCAAGGCAGGCTAGATCTGGAAACAGGGATCCCGGCGCCTCTCTGGTCTTTCCACAAAAACACATGCTCATCGGTGGGAAAGAGGAGACCCGTGAATCCTGCATTTGTGTCTGGGAATCCAGAGAGAAGAATTCCCTTTGTAGTGCATGACCTCACTAGAGGGTGTAGGTTCCTGACCTACTAGGCAGGGAAGGGGGGTCCATGCCAGGCCAGACCCTCTTCTGTCTTTCCCACTGAGAGGGATCCAGTTAACCCACTCTGACTTGGCAAGTCACTTGAAACCTTCAGCCTCTGTGTCCTCATCTGTATATACATTAAAGATGACGTGTCCCTCATTGACTTCTGGAGGTTGAAAGTAATGGTGGTTGTGATGAGTCTGGACTAGAGGGGACATTAAAAGTCAAATGAGAGTCCGGCTGGCGTGGCTCAGCAGTTGAATGTTGACCCATGTACCAAGAGGTCGCCGGTTCGATTCCCGGTCAGGACACATGCCCAGGTTGTGAGCCCGATCCCCAGTGGGGGCCATGCAGGAGGTGGCCCATCAATGTTCTCTCTCACAGATGTTTCTATCTATCTCCCTTCCTCTCTCCAAAATCAATAAAGGAAAAAAAATTTTTAAAGTCAGATGAGAATCAGAACCTCTGTGGACCCTACACTGAGTTCCGGTTCAATCACCAACTCTCAGCCTCTTAAGAGTTCCCCACCTCTGTGGTGACAAGGACACTGCAGAAACGTGAGAGTTACTATAGGAAGGTTCTGTACTCTGAGCCCCTCGGCATTTGAGGTACACAGTAAACTCTGACCGAGGAATAGGATGTGGTGCTCGGGTTACACAATGTCCGCATTAATGGATACTTTCTGGAAAAAGAAACAAAATACTAAGCAGGGTTTCCTGTCTTATGCCCTCATCTTCCTACATCCTCCTGAAATCAGCAGTCTGTTCCCAAGCCCTTCGGTAGAGAAGTTCATTCATAATGCTCACGGTTCATGCAAAAGTCGTGGAGGGATATGTGCTCCATGAAACTGAACATGAAAACGATTAATATTAATTGCATTAATTGGAATTCAAATTGAGAGACACATTTTTTTTTTATAATTTTTTTTTTTTTTATCCTCACCCGAGGATATTTTTGCATTTATCTTCAGAAGGAAATGGGGAGGAAGAGAGAAACATTGACGTGAGAGAGACACATCGAGTGGTTGCCACCCACACGACCCCAACCGGGGCTGGGGACAAACTGCAACCGAGGTACGTGCCCTTAGCGGAAACAGAACCCAGGACTCTCTGGTCCACGGGCCGACGCTCTAACCACTGAGCAAAACCAACCAGGGCCAGAGACACTTTCTTTTCAATGTGC